GAGAGAGAAAGATAAAATGTCAGACACCAAGAGAACTCAGCCATGGCTTATTCATCAGCACTAGTCAAAAGAAGAGGTTCAGACCACACTGGGCTACAGAAGAGAGCTTTTAAAGGTGACTTGCAGTGAAGAGAAATAGTGGATGCAAAACCCAACTTTCTATTGTATAAAATCAATCTGTTAGTTTTAAAACGTGTTTTGAGAGAGAAAGATAAAATGTCAGACACCAAGAGAACTCAGCCATGGCTTATTCATCAGCACTAGTCAAAAGAAGAGGTTCAGACCACACTGGGCTACAGAAGAGAGCTTTTAAAGGTGACTTGCAGTGAAGAGAAATAGTGGATGCAAAACCCAACTTTCTATTGTATAAAATCAATCTGTTAGTTTTAAAACGTGTTTTAAGAGTGGTAAGGGAGAAAACATGCTATTTCATATGGGAAATTAAGCTTTTATCTCCCCTAGATAATGATGGCAGAGCTACTAACACAAGAGTGAATGTTCAACAATTGGAGAAAGGAAAAGGACTTTAGCCGGTCTGATTAAAACTTTGGTTTTTACCATTATCTGCACTTGGAAGACAGAATCTTTACTGAAGTAATTCTACACTCCTATCCTTCAACTAAGGCATGGAAGTTAAAAATACACATCTCTGAAATCCACAAGTCCCACACCAAACTGGTGAAGAATGAATCTGACACGCTTAAAATAAAAAAAGCAAAAAACAAAAAAAATAAAAAACTGTATTAATAGATGTTAGAGCCCTGCACAGATACAAAATTTGTATCTGAATCCACAAAAATAATGTGCAGATATCTGCGTCCACATCCCCAGATGTAAATATGCATGAATATAAAGCAGATATCCGCAGATTTTCAAAGCTCTACTTAAAGTCCAAGAAGGACTATTAAATTAATCTAACCTGACTTCCTATGTTGCAAAAGCAAAAGACAAAGCCCTTGGGTCTTCTTTTTTAAGATCACATCTTTGCTGACCCCATTAAGACTCAAGTAGGGATTTTAAAAATTAACTAGTAGTCATATGCCTTACCGGCCTGCTTGCCAGCTAACCAGAGCCCCAGCCCCATGCCAGCCAACCATGACACCCCAGCCACGGCAGACCAGAGCAACCCCCGCTACCGGTGGCTGCAGAAAGCCGGGGCTGGAATAGATGGTAAATCAGTTCAACAAATCATTTAACAGGTTAACTATTCTGGGCATTTTTTACATCCCTACTCTGAAGGTCAAACAAACAGTTTCCATACTTCCATGTAGCTGTCTTAGATAAAGAATATAATTGGGGTTGGCCAAACCCTGGCTTATGAGCTACACTGTGGCACTTTTATAGTTGAAGTGCAACTTGAGAAACTCCTCTCCCATTCTCCACCTACCACACTTGCCTACCAGGGCATGTCTTCCAGGGATCATGGCTTCAAGCTGGACTGGAACTGAAGCCCTGACAGGCACCTCCTCCAGGACTGAACCTGAGTCATCCCTCCCGACAGGGCTGAATCCCTCATATCTAATCAGGCTTTCAAACATCTGAAGATTGTCATATGTGGCTTAGAGGCTCAGTAAGTTTGACCAGCCCTGGAATATAGGAGCACTGTCTGCACATCCCACTATGGAAATCAGCAATTTAAATCACAATTCAATATTGTGTGCCTTGTTTTAACTCCCTACGTGGCTAATTAGTCAACAGCTGGTTAGGTCTCACTCTGCTTAGTCGGGAACATGCATTAGACAAAAGCACAAACCATTGGCCCATGGGTATGTGACAATCAGCTTAAGTGCCAGAAAACCTGGGATCGCACGCTCACACACAAATAAAAGTATCTGGATAAAAAGAACCGAAAAACAAAGTCATGCCATTCAATAACAAGGATACTATCTATATATTTTTGGTTAGTCTAAGATGCTACAGGACCATTGCTATTTACGTTTTTTTTAGTTACAGGGACTAACATGACTACCCCTCTGAGACATTAGTACAGTAATAGGTACAGTTCTTAACCAAGACTGGAACCCAAATGCCCAAGGTGCTGTACATGCAAACACAGTAAGAGGCAGTCTGAAACACCCTGTCTCAGAGAGCCAGCAGTCCAAACAGAAAAGATGGGTGGAGAAACTGAGGCATAGACAGAGAAAGTGAGTTGCCCACAGTAACCTAGTGACAGAGCTGGGAACAAAATCAGGTCTTCTAGGCTCTGGTAGGGCACCTTGGTCATTGCTTCTCAAACACAGCACCTAACGTCCCTTCTCTCACAGTATTTGGTCATAACAATGGTTAAATGGCCACACTTCCTAGCAGTTAACCCAATTAGTTACTTTGCACTTCACCTTTCAAGCGAATGCAGGAAGTCGGTCATACAAGTCCTAAACAAGGCATCGGCTACATTCAGAGCACTGCAAACCACGCCCAGCATGGTGTCCGGCTTCTCGGCCTGGGTTGGGTGGGAGAGGGGAGAAAAAAAGACATTTCCAGTCTACTGCAGATAGCAGGTCCATGTGAGAATGAAGATGTTTAGCCAGAGGGAAGAGAGTCAGAGCTCAGCTTCTACCTGTACTCTCTCAGCAATCAGGTGGTCCAGCCAACCAGTGTCTATCTCATTGTTCTGAAAGCTCTCTGTCTCCAGCACCTTAATCAGGTACTCGACTGTTGTTCTGAAATCCCCACGGATCGACAGCTCTTTCAGTGCCACAACCATATTCCTTAAAAAAAAAGTTCCTCTTTTAATCCTGCATGATCCCTGCCCCCCCCACCTGTTCATTTACAATCATACAAAGTATGAAAGACCCAAAATCTGATGTATCCAATAATCCAATAAAGTGCAAGAGCAGATGATAAACTTTTCCTCGCAAAATATACCAACGCATATGCCACGTTTTTAAGACTGGATGTTTATTACTGAACAAGTAAGCTCTTAGCAGCCAAGAGATACAGCAAGCTACACAGAATTTAGTTGTCCGAGAATGCTGTATATCAGGGCTACTCAACATGCAGCCCATGGGCCACATGCAGCCTGTTTGAGGCCCGCGGTGCAGTTTGGGTTTACATGAGGCTCAACATGCGGCCCACAACTGGGATCCTTTGAACATGGCCTCCACTGGGAACACACTCCACAACTGAGAGTCAATATAATGATTTATGTGGCTATGCGTTTTAGTAGTTAAATTCCTGACTGTCATTGCTCATTCAAAGTGCTATCATATGGGTGGAAATCGGGTAACTATTGCATTTTATTAATATCAGCAGAACTGACTTAAATAGGGCCTGCATGTTGCATAGTCTTGCCTTAATCTTTGTATCTATGCCCATCAGTGTGAAAGAAGCTATTTGCATATATTTGCAAATGTATATGCAACCACACTTAAGTTGTGGCCCTCGGCGTGTGCTGTATCACTATGGCCCCCAGGATTTCCAAAGTTGAATTGCTCTGCTGGATGTGAGCTCTCAGACACCATGGACAACAGGCAACTTCATAAAAATCTAGACACAAAGTGTTTCTTTAACTCTGAAGAAAGACAGCCTAAACTAACATGCTGTGAGACAGCCTTTATTAATAAAAAAAAAAATCTGCCATCTCTGCATGTTCACCTTCTAGAGAAGGTAGGTTTTTTTGGCTTGTTAGGAAGAAGTTTACTTTGAAAGGTAACAGAGTAGTTCTGAGAGGCCCTGATTCAGAAAAGCACATGATCAGAACCCTTAAGAACAATATCTAAAGCTAATCATTAAATGTTTTTAGCTTAAATAGGGCTAAATCACAAGTTTCTGAATATTTCAGTTTAGTCTGAACAGTCTCCATATCCCCCTGTAGGAACTAATGTCAAAAGTTCAGAGCTAAACTGCTCAGAAATGCTGAAGAGGACAATTGCCTCTTTCAAATCACATATTTTTATATCTAAAACCATCAACATTCAGTGGCTCTAGAGTCCCTCCACTCTACAATGGCTCTAGAGCTGATTGTTAATAGTATTGGGAGGACAATACTGACGAGATAGCCTCTTCCCGGTTCTCTCCCCAGGAGAAACAGTGTCCAAACTGTGAATCAGCAAATTCGTGCAAACCGCCAGCAGCTGCCACACTGAAATAACCCCAGACGTTCTTGCTGCTACGGAAATTCAGCTCCTGCACCGTCCCCGAGCTTGGCTTGAACCCCTAAGAGTCAGTGTTAAATTAGAAAAAAACAAAACCAAAAAAAGACAAAGAAGTTACAATGAAAACAAAAATGGCACAAGTCAATAAAGAGGAATTCCAATGCAAATAGCAGCTATTACATAAATATGCCTGTGGAGTTCATTAACACCACATAGCTCATCTGGGAACAGCTCCCAATATTTTGATCATTTATCAATAGACTGGTCAGAGTTCAGATCTTCCGCAAAACAAGGTCGTGGCCTGCTCCCTGTAACTTTTAAAATCTGCTTGTCTGGAGCAGGAGCTTTCTAAACAGGATTCTGTTTACTTACCTCATCAGGATTTTCACTGGTGACTCTGGCAGCAATGACATGGCCTCTGGGCACTGGGGCATTTGCAGGGCTCTCAAAGCAGATGGGCGTATCGCCCCACGGCGACTCTCCATATAGCACTCGGATGTCTTTGATTCTGTGCAAGGGGACTCCCATTGCAATCTGCGGGGGGGAGGAGGGAAGGAGAGACACAATGGTCTAAATTAGCTTTGGACTGAGGCTGCAGCATCACACACAGAGACAATCAATGGGAAAAGAAGCTTTTTACTCTCTAGGTCACTAGCTTACATCCCACCCCTTCTGAGGGAACCAAACCAGGCAGCCATGTGCTGGCTGTGCAGAACCCTCTTTAGAGTAAGCTTAAGCTCAGCCAACCCAAGTGGTCACCTTGGGAGTGTATTTTTGAGGTGCTTGGGACTGATGGGGCATGGAGACCACATGTGATGGCCCATCTCGCTGCTGGGGATGGCTGCTGCCGGTTGGGAGTGGGAAATCATGCAAGGACTTGCTCCCCTGTGGATTGGGGGGGGGGGGGAGAGAGAGATAACAAACTTCTCTCACTTCTCTCTTCCTGCCTGTCGATCCAGCACCTTTAACAGGCACCAATCCTCACACACAGCAGATGGCTCAAACCAATAAGCACCTCAGAATCGTTTGTGTGCTGCAACAGCTTAAAGAAATGCATCTGTGTGGGGGGAGAGGGGGAAGGAGAGGAGAGGGAAATAGTCTGTCAAATATCACATACCTGGAGCTGAGCAGCTGGTAAGTTCACATCAGCAATCATTTCTGTGCAAGGATGTTCTACTTGCAGGCGGGGATTTAACTCCAGAAAGTGGAAGCCTCCATCTTCACTATAGAGGTATTCAACTGTGCCTGCACTCACATAACCCACCATCTTCGCCAGGCGTACTGCGCTCTGAAAACACAACAGACAGATGTGGCTTTTGTGAGGCTCGTTCCTGCTAGTCCACAAGCACAGGTGCTTTGCCTGATGCTTAGATTCTGTTCCGTGCATGTTTCCAACATGTCCCTTGTGCAATATTTCCAGGGCAGCACATCAAATTGGGCAAAAGACAAATGCCAAAACCATGCAAACGAAGAGAAAAAACAATAGCATAAGCCAATAGGGAGAATCAATTTTTACATTAATGCTGTAAAGCAATTTCTGATTGTGTTCCATTAAGTTACACAGCTGCAGCATGCACCAGGTAAATGAGAGCTGCACAATGCAGAACAGAACAGGAGATGGGACAGAGCCATGGAGAGCAACCTAGGGACTGAGGAATAAAAGCCACCATCTTGTTAGTTAAGCCATGTCCCATTTGCAAGTACCAAGACTTTAGAAGTTCCGCTTGCCATTGTGCTTAATGTGGCAGAGGTAACAGGACTGCCAAACTACAGGTGAACAGTGAGAGCTAGAAAAATGTCCAAGCAGAAAATCAAAGTCATAGGTAAAAATGTTAGTTAAAACAAACAGCCCCCACCCTTAACAACAGCTCAGGTGACTGAGTGACTCTTTATAGGGGCCATTTGTTTATGTTTCTGTGTGGGTGCAGCACCCAGTACAATGGAGACCTGTGGCCCTTAGTTGCTCAAACAAAAAGGGTACTGCAGAAAGGTGATGGCAGACACCAAAAAAATCACTTCCACCAGGTGAGAGGTCCCAGAGGCTTGTGAAGTAAGGAACAGGCTCCTCATTAAGGGCCAGACCCTTTCATTCAGAGCTGATCCACCATGATTACATTCCACAGCCCCATGCTACAACAAAAGATTTACGACTCTAAAAGAGGGAGGGTGATCCTGGCTCCCACGCTGAGAATCCCTGTGTCACAGTGCTGAACCCTCCCAGAGCCAAGTTTGTTCAGTGTCTGTGTGGCTCTGCAGGGGGCAGTAACTCCAACTCTGCCTTGGCTGGGGGGGGGGGGAGAGGGGAGACCAGAGCTTCTGGCCTAACAGGACAGGGTAGTAGGGAGTCCCAGCAGGCAGGTTGGCAGGCATCAGTGGTTGGATCAGCACAGCAAGGGACAGCCCCAAGGGGATTTCTGTGATCCAATTCATCACACCCTGCTTGAGGGGACTGCAACAGGGATAGCTTAGCTTGCTTGACGCTCAGGAGCAAGGCTATCACCAAGGCAGGCTAGGCTGAGGCAGCAGCCTGGGTTGCAAAGCTGAGCAGGCAGAAACAGCGGGGACACGTGAAGTCCTACAGGTCTCAGGGAAAGAACTCCACTTCCACCCCCAACTCACTTCAACGGGCCACCCCGCCTCTGATGGTGATGATGGTAGTGGAGGGGGCGGGGCGAACACAACCACAAAATTCATTGCTGTATGGAAAAATGACAAAAAAATGGTAGGAGGGTGCAAATATATTTGCTTACCCTAGGAACTAAAATGCCTCATTACGGTTCGGCTAATAAAGCAACCTCCTGGGTTTGTGCATTTAAGCATTTGGCTACAATGTGAGGGCTGCGCACAAACATCAGTTCATCCTGGGGGTGAGGAGGAGAAGAATTTTCCACTTATACTGAGAGTGAAAGCTTTCTGTCATTTGTCTGTACAGCGCCCTGCACAAAGCGGCCCTGACCTTTTGCTCAGCCTTCCTAGGCACTACTATAATACATACAATAAAAGCAGCAGCTAAAATGCTCCTTTTCTCTAACATCCCCTCTGTCAGCATTACCTCCACCTATCCCACAGGCCAGATGTAGAATAACCTACCTTCTCCATAAAGTCAAACACAGAGGGAGCTGCTACCGTCACCGGTGCCTCTTCAATTATTTTCTGATGCCTGCGCTGTATGGAGCAGTCGCGGCCGAACAATGAAATGGCATCCCCGTACTGATCAGCAAGCACCTGCACCTCCACGTGCCGGGCGTGCTGGGCTAATTTCATCACAAAGATAGGGGATCCTGGGGCTTCGCTCTGCACCTGGGAGGGCAGGAGAAGAGCATCAGAAATGCATTCACATGGTAAATCCAATCATGTGTCTCCCTGAAATCAAGGATATGGGTAAATCCATCCCCTCTGGGAGAAATTCACCACTAGGCAGAGGGCTGGCACCAGACCTCGGCACCACTATAAATCTCTCATGTTCCTGACCCAATGTATTGCACGTTTTACTTTTTTTTTTTAAATATAATGTGCATTTGAACTGATAACCCTTCCCTCAAATATGCCAGTAAAAGGACTCAGGGGAACACCAGGAAATGCATGCTCTTCTGCTAAATACACTTTTAAAGAGAATTTTTTTTAAAAAGGCAGGATTTGAAGGGAGGAGAAGGCCCATCTCACAGCTCTGTGGGGAAGTTAAAAAGAGAGCAGAGGTTAGTATGTGGGAGAAGCAGTGGGGCCACCAGACACATGACACATCCTCCAGCCCAGGGAAGGGCCAGGAAAATCCCCTCTTACTCCAGGCTCACATCTCCACACTCCTGTTTCACCCCTTCCCCACCTTGCTCCACTCTCACCCCGCCTCTTCCCCAATGGCAGCAGCCAGGGGAATGAGGGGGGGGGGGAAGGGGGGGGTGCACCACCACCTCACCTGCAGCAGCAGGGGAAGTGGAGCCTGTGCTCCCAGACCCATTGTTCAGCTTCCTGTAGGCAAGTGCGGGGGTGGTCCTGCCTCCTCCCCCAAGCAAGGCAACTGGGAGAGTGGAGCAAGCTAGGGCTGCATTGCTCCTCTTCCTCTGCTGGTGAGTAGAGGGCGGGACGGTAACCCTGTTGCAGACACCAGACTCTCCTGCTAGTCCTGCTGCATGCTACTGGCTGGACCTTTGCCCCTCCTGTCCATGGCGTTTGGGGTACATCATCCCTATGACCCCTCCTGTGCATCACTTGTGAAAGGTCTATTTTTGAATGGGGAAGGATGGAGAGGCATCTTCCTTAGAGCCTCTTACTTGTCTGAGGGGACAAATTTAGAGAAGTGGGACATGGGGTAAAAACTCTCCTCCCAGTCTCTCACCTGTCTGAAGCAGCCAGTGAATTCCTCACCAGTCTCTGCCTTCCGGATTCCTTTGCCACCACTGCCCTCCGAAGCTTTTATCATCACGGGGTAGCCAATCCTCTCAGCCACCTGAAGGAGGGAAAGGGCTAGGAAGCTGAAGGGAACACTGTAGATTTTTCTAGGGCAAATGCAGCCCCAGAGCAAATGAGCACAGCTCAAATCGTGGCCCACAGCGTCGGGACCCCATCACGCGGGGGTTCAGTTTGTCCAGTGTGAACACCATAGACACAGGTGCATTCACCAAATCCCTCTCAATTTAACAGAGTGTGCAAGTCACTGCTGACATTTGTTTATCTCTGTGACATGTGGTGGGGAGAAAGCGCTCTGCACAGGCCCCTTTCTATTACTATTAGGAATCCAAATAAGGAAGAGATGAATAGATTCCAAGGGCAAAAGGGCCCTGTGTGACCTAGGCTGGGAGTTGGGGGGGGGAGGAGTAAACTATGGCCTGTGGGCTGCATCTGGCCCATCAGGGCTTTTAATCTGGCCCTTAGGAGTACCAGGTCGGCAGCACAAGTGGGCAAAGGTAGGCTCACACACAGCCCCCCATGCCACTCCCAGAAGCAGCCAGCAACTCCCCACAATGGCTCCCATTGCCATTGTCCTCACAGCTCCCATTGGCTGTTAACGCAGGTGAGGGCAGCATTCAGAGCCACCTGCCTCCCATGTCACTGCCAGCCCTGTTCACCACCAAATGGGATATATCCAAGATAAGTGGCATCCAGCCAAAGCCTGCGCCCCAACACCTCACACACCCAAACCCCTGCCCCAACCCTACATCCAGAGGTGAAAGTAAGTGGGCGCACAGCTCTAGCAAAAGCTGGCTGAGCTGCAGCAAAAGCCAGCAGGGAGCTATTTAAAGAGCTGGCAGGGACCTGGGTTGAAATAGGATAGTACTTCTAAGAACTTTTAAGGTACTTTCACTACTGCCTACATCCATGTCCTGCCATACAATTTCTCTGCCCTGATGTGGCCCCCAAGCCAAAAATGTGCCCACCCCAATCTAGTCTGACCTCCAGTACCAACCACCTGTAGAACTCCCCCAAAGTAAGTTCTATGGCATCGTGTTTAGAAAAATGGGCAGTCTGGATTTTAAAATGGTCAATGGCAGAGACTCCACCATGACCCTGGGTACATTGTTCTGATGGTTTGCTCACCATTAAAATTTGCCCCTTATTTTCCAGTCTGAATTTGTCTACCTTCAACTCCCAGCCACTGACTCAAGTTACACTGGACTGCAGAGCCCATTACTAAATGCCCATGCCCCTTGTAAATCTCAAAGGCAGAGAGGCAGCAGAACAGCTGGGTCTCTCCCTTTGAAATGTGCAAAAGCCACCCACAGTTCCTGTACATTTCAAAGGGAGAGGAGCAGCAGCTGGACCAGTGCAAGTGGGACTGTTTCAGTCTCCACTCACGCGGTTTCCCCACTGCCCCCCCGCCTCCCCTGCAGAGACAGTGCTAGTGGGGACCAGCAAAGCAAGCCCCCGCCCAGCACTGGCTGCTGCTCTTCCCCTTGGGGGAAAGAAAGCAACTAGTCAAGTTCCTACTCAACTACCTGATAAGCATTTGCTTATCAGATAGTTCACTAGACGCTTATATCCCTAGTAGGCATGTCATTACTTATAGACTGATCATGTCACACCAGGATCCTCTCTTTTATTAAGTTAAAGAGACTAAGCTCTTTAAGTCTATCACGCATCTTTTAATTATTCTTATTTCCAAACTATACACATCCTTTACATAAGAACAGCCATACTGGGTCAGACTAAAGATCCGCCTAGCCCAGTATCCTATCTGCTGACAGTGGCCAATGCCAGATGCCCTGGAGGGAGGGAACACAACAGGTAATCTTCATGATCCCCTCCGTGTCATCCATTTCCAGAAAAACAGAGACTGGGGACACCATTTCTACCCATCGTGGCTAATAGCCATTGACGGACCTAATCCCCATGAACTTATGTAGCTCTTTTTTGAACCCTGTTAAGTCCTAGTCTTCACCACATCCTCTGGCAAGGAGTTCCACAAGTTGACTGTGCGCTGCATGTAGAAAAACTTCGTTTTGTTTGTTTTAAACCGATCACTTATTAATTTAATCTGGTGACCCCTAATATATGAAAAAGTAAATAACTTTTCCTGATTTCACTTCTTCCACACCAGTCATGACTGTATAGACCTCTATTATATCCCCCCCCTTAGGCTCCTCTTTTCTAAGATGAAAAGTCCTAGTCTTTTTAATCTCTCTTCACATGGGACCCCTTTCAAGCACCTAATCATTTTGGTTGCCCTTCTCTGAACTTTTTCTAATGCCAAGTTATCTTTTTTGAGATAAGGTGACCACATCTGTATGCAGTATTCAAGATGTGGACCTACCAAGGTTTTATGTCATGCATCTGACGAAGTGGGTCTTTACCCACGAAAGCTTATGCTCCTACACTTCAGTTAGTCTATAAGGTGCCACAGGACTCCTCGTCGCTTTTGCAGATTCAGACTAACACGGCTACCCCTCTGATACAAGATTTTATATGGAGGCGATAAGATATTATCTGTCCTTTTCTGTATCCCTTTTTTCCGCAGAGGGTGGACACTGTATTCCAGCAGCAGTCACACCAGTAACAAATACAGATATAGAAGAACCTTGAGTAGGAGTAGAGACCTTTTGTTTGGCCAGTGTCACACCGGGAGCTCACATTCAGTTGATTATACACTCCTGCCCCAAAACTTGTTCCAAGTCCCTGCTTCTCAGGATAGCATCTCCCAAGCTGTGAGCAGGTCCTGCATTCTTTGTTCTCAGAGGTATACATATACACATAGCCATATTATAATTAATTTTGTTTACTTGCTCCCAGTTCATGAAGCCACCAGATCACTCAGAATCAGTAACCTACCCTCTTAACTATTTATCACTATCCCAGACTGTGCATCAGCTGCAAGCTTTAGCAGGGATGATTGTTTTGTCTTCTAGGTCATTGATAACAATGTTAAATAGCAGAGGGGACAAGAAGTGATCTCCTTGGGATACCACTCAAAATGCACCCACTGGGGAGTCCCCATTTGCAATTTCTACAAAAATGAACGGAGCTGCTGTTGGGTTAGGACCTTTACCTCCAGACCTTCATCCACGTCCTTTACACAGCCTCGTGCATAAGTCTGTAGGGAGACACTGATTGTTCGCTGCTGCTCACAATCCTCCTTTGTCCATTCTGCCACAAGACCTACGGAATGAAACACTGACCTCAGAATGCCTTCATGCCTCAGAGATCTATAGCAAATGGCTGCATTTGGCAAGTAACTGAAGCTTTCTCAGCAGCCGTCCAGCCATAGGAACTACTACAGTTATCTTTCTACTATCAGTCACATGGGAAAGCAAGCTGAGGTGCACAGTTTTTCTGGAGAGCAACCAGGACTGAGTCAGCAGGGTCCAGCTGGATTCCCCAAAGCCCTGTTACATGGGAGAGTAGCCCTGAGCTAGAGAACAAACATGCAGAGATCACAGCGTTGCTAACATATGGGCGGAAACACCTGTCAATTCTCTCTGCTGCCTGCTGGCCCATCCTAGAAGAGTGACCAGGAACCAGGCTCAAGGACCCATCTCTAGAAAGCTGAAATGCAGCCAAGAGACAACAGAAGTGGAAAGGAACGACAGAGAGCAAGTAAGGCAGAAAACAGAGAAGGTCAGTACAATAAGGGGAGAATGGCTACTGTATAAGAGAAGGTGGTTATAAATGGGAGGGGGGAGGGAAGAGAAAGAACTGGATAAAAAAATTACTGATGAGGGTAACAGCAAAAAGTCAAGGCCCAAGGAAGAAGAGATGCATCAAGACAAAGAAAGAGAGAAAGGAAAGCAGCAAAACTTTGTTTTTTTTACAGCAACTACAGTTGATGGTTTAATGGTGGAGTGGCTGTTCCTAGCAGGGAAAAGTGAGCACGTAAATGCGAATGGGTAGAGAAGGGCAACACCCCACTCAAGATCTGACCCCTGGCTCAGTTTCCCCATTTTTTCCCTTCTGTAAGGAGTCTGACAGATACAAAATGAGAAAAAAAATGCCCAAATAAATGACACACAAGTTTTGTGTGATCTTAGCTTCTCTCATGTAGAAGGCTCTCTTACCACTTCCGCTCCAGGGCAATGTGGGGATCTGGATAGTCTGGGCCACAATGGTGGAGGCCACTTTATCTCCCAAAGCCCACATGGCTTTACTGGGAGGACCTTAAAGCCAGCAGAAAACAAAAACATGAAGAGGTTAGTGCCTCTCACTCACTGACACCATGAAACCTTTTTTCAAAAAGAGGCACAGAAACCCACCTCCCACCCACATCAAACAACTGAGTAAAAGGACCCACTCCTAGGAACGTTATTGGGGAGTCTCCAAAGTGTACCTTGTACGCTGAGCACTTGGGCAGCCACCCAGGACAGACTCAAAGGCCACCCAGCTGATTAGCAGAGTGCCCACAGCCAGCAGCATGTGTTTCATATGCAAATGTGTACTCCACTAGTCTCAGTGCATATACCAAAGTTTATTCTGCACAGATGGAAAAAATTCCACAGAACACTGGTCTCTGTGAACCCTGATTTGAGAAGCCCTACATTAGAAGACTTATGGGATGGGAATGAGTAACTGGTAAACCAGTGCCAGGGAGCACCCTGCCCCCCAGCAGATTGCTGGGGTGCTCCAGCCCCAGAGCTGGGAGCCTGCTGGGGGGGCCCATCCCAGCCTTAGAGCCAGTGCAGGGGTGCAGCCCTGGGTACTGTAGGCTGCTCCAGCTGCCCAAACTCTCACTTGGTCAGTTAACAGATTAAACATTAGGTTAACCTAACATATAACTGGCTAACCAGTTATATGTTTGATTAATTGTTCTTTTACATCCCTAATGCGGGACCAATACACACAAACACCACACCCAGACATAGCAGTGCCCATGAGAAGTCAAGGAAGCCAATGCAGTGTAGGTGACTCCCTTGGACAGTGGTAGGTTTTGTTGGTTTAAGAGGACTGCATTGAGGGAAATAAGCAAGAACCCTACCTAGGAAAGCCACCCCATGTTTGTGCAGCAGCTCCGGAAGCTTTGGGTTTTCAGAAGCATGGCCCCAGCCAGCCCACACGGCCTGTGATGAAAGAAAGGCAGTATCTGTGAGGGAGTGCTAGCTGCACAGGCAACCTCCTGTCGGTTGGTCACAGCATCCTGCGCTGCCCAGGCTCAAGTCAACAGCACCTTAGTCCTAGCAATAACTAGAGCCTCTCTCTACACTCCACATGCTCTCTTCCAAGAGCAACCCATGCGATTAAAGGCATAAATGGTCGGAAAGCCATTTCCTGAAGGGGCACCCCCGACTCAGTCCTGTCATGGAGGTAATGATCTGTGGGCACCTTTGCTCTTAGCTCCTCAAAGGACAGAGCCCTAGGATACTAAACAGAGGGCCTACTCAGCATGGTGGCACCTCCCCCTAAAGAACAGCCCTGACGGCACACAATAAGATACCAGACCCTCCAGCCTTTGACGGTCATGGTGTGGGACAGAGAGAGGATAGGGATAATAGTTTCAGAGCCATTTCTGTTTGAAACTTCACCATGCAACCCACTCCACTGCAACAACGTTGGGCACTGCAAATAATCACCTTTCAGTCAGGAGCCAGAGCCCCAGCTCTGAAGACAACATTCTCATTCTCTCCTTGTCCACTGAAACCAACCGGAATCTTTCCATCGATGCGCACAGGCACTGGCAGGCCCTAAAATTCCTGGATGTCCCCTCAGAATTACCTGACTAATGCCAGGACCCATTTCCAGATCATCAAACATGCCCAGGATGATTTCTGAGCTTCAGGTTTGGCTTCTGAGCTATGAAGTTATCCCGAGCCCACAAAGACAAAATCACAGTGTACTGTTTGTACCTGCACTGGAACCCTCTTGGAAATATCCACAATCAGCTCTACGTTTGCATAGTTGTTGTTGTTGGCTCCCCCAGGGACGGGCACGTAATGGTCAGCCATTTTGATGTACTCTGCAAGAGAAAGCCCATTGATGGTAGATGAGAGTAGCAGGCGGATGGGAAGGCATCAAGACTGTACAGCAAACTTACTGTACTGGAGTTGAAAAACTTCACCTCCTATTAATGCTGCTCTTCCCTCTCCCCCCCACAGGAACTGCAGCCATGACAAGCGACACACATCACTGTAGATTGGAAAGCAACCACAATTCTAGACCTCCTAAGGAGACAGGAGGAGGGGATGTGGGAGAAGAGGCTAAATCTATTAGCGGGTCTGATCCTATAAACCAGGGCTGGGCAAAATGCAGCCCAAGGGCCAGATCTGACCTGCCTAACACTTTGATCCTGCACAGGGACTGCGTCTGGCCACTTTTTATTTATAGCCTGCTGCCGGTGCCACCAAATTTCCAGGCAGTAGCTCAGGCAGCAGGATCCTGATTAAATGGCTTCTGCTTAAGATGCTACCCCTGGCAGGGGCCAGAACTGAGCACCCTTTTAATTAGCTGCAGCAACCCCGGCCGGCTGCCAGGCAGCGTGGTAGTGGTGAGGCTGGGAGCTGTGAGCTCTTTGCAGTGTTTTTAATTCAAAGCCTCCAGCTCCAGACAGCTCTGGGCGGAGGCTAGTCCCAGGCTCTGGCTCTTCCGGAGAGAGGGTTTCTGTGGAGGTGACCCATGGCAATGCACCAAAATTCATTAAGTGCCCTCCTCCCCCCCCAAAAAAAATTACTGCCCACCCCACTGTAGTCCATGCAAAGAAGAAAGTCTTGCTGTAAACACTGACAGAGGTCCTGGTTCGTGACAGGTAACTTATTCCATTGCTTAACCACCCTGACAGTTAGGAAGTTTTTCCTACTGTCCAGCCTAAATCTCCCTTGCTGCAGTTTAAGCCCATTGCTGCTTGTGTTAGTGCAGAATTGTCTCTGATTCAAATCAGTCAATAGGTAACGTCTCAGACAACACTGAGGACAGGACAGACAGCTGTGCAGAGGAGATGTTTGCAATAGGCACCACAGAGAAAGAGGGGACATCAATGTCAATGTCGGTTAGATTTTATGGATTCAGCTTTAGCACTTACCAGCATTTGCTTTAAGATCTTCAGGTGTGACCATGACCACAAACCGAATGGCTCGCTCATTTCTGAACATTTCATAGGCCCACCTGCGGATGGAGCGCATGCACTTCACAGCAGCAATGCCATTGTTTGCAATCAGAACCTGCAAGCAAGAGGAAGAAAAAAAACACAGGGGTCAGAGGCAAATGGCTGGATCTGAGAGGGCTCAAAGTGTCAAAAGGCAGACATACCTTTCATTTCACCTGAAAGGTATGACAAAGGCACACAGCACCTTGCAGGATCTGGCCCTGATGTTCAGATATGGGAGCTGTAAAAAGCCTAGTATTTTATTTAAAATTTTACAAGACACCAAAATTGTAGACTTTAAATCACTGGGAAGGAGTTACACAGTAACCTCTAAGTTGATTATTACATAACCAGTAGTATTAACATGGGTGTTCCATGCATGGAAGGACAGCAGACTATCAGAACTCAGAGACAGATATTGTATAGCAGTCTAGACAACTCACAATTGCTCCCTTCCAAGAAATGAACTTTTGCAGGAAGTCTCCAGATAAAGGAAGCATTAGGCTAATACTGTTTCTACACAAATGAGAGAAAGTTGAGATACAAGGTCAAATTTTGCTTTTGGTTATACCTCTGAAGTCAAAGTAGTTATTGAGGATTTATTCTGGGCACAACAACAAACAACAACAACAAAAAATCAGAATTTGGCCTAATGTCTGCAATACTTCATAAACACTCTGAAACATAGAGGATCCCTCAACCACATGACAAATATTTGCAATCTCTGTTCCCACTAAACAAAACCAATTCAAGAACAGACTGCCTACGAATGCTAACATTGAGATTAAATCAGAGTTTCAAACCAACATGACATGGTGGCCAATCTTCATAATGTTGAATTTTAGCCAAAAAGCTTTACTTCTGGGAAGATGGGAAATAATTTTGACTTAAAGCAACTTGGCTGATGCAAACCAAGCAAAAGGCATTGCCCAGCTCTGGGGCATGGGAAGGAATAAAATACTTCACATAGTTCTACAGAAGCCCTTTTTCTTGCGACAGAGTACAGCACTAACTAGTTTCTACATGTAGCACCTTCTAGACAGGCTGTGGAAGCAACATAGGAAATCAAGAGTTGAGGTTTACAATGAGAAGGAAAAAGGATGGAACCTTCAGGCAAACAGTAGGGAGGAGGAGACGTAGAGAGAAGTAGTGGATTTGCACAGGTACCTAAGGAACAAGTAAACAAAAAAAGCTGTATATAGCAGCAGTGTCCCCTGTAAGCTGAGCACTTGGGCAGTCACCCAGCTGATTAGTAGAGTGCCAAGATGACAGTGTGTTTCTATAGGTGGTGCACATTTGCACATGCCTTGGTACACAACACAATTCATTCTGCACATGGATATTAAAAATTAGAGGGAACATAGTATAGGAGAGGACTCTAGGGTTCCAGTGAGTTTTGTATTTGTAGAGTCTATTTTGATGCTTTGACATAATTTGCCTATGTTAATATTTAATCATGCAATCATAGACTCCTAGGGCAGGAAGAGACCTCAGGAGTCACTGAGTCCGGCTCCCAGCCCAAAGCTGGACCAATCGCAACTCAATCATCCCAGCCAGGGCTTTTTCAAGCTGGGACTTAAAACCTCTAGGGATGGATATTCCACCCCATCCCTAGTGAACCTATTCCAGTGCTTCACCATCCTCCTAGCGAAACAGTTTTTCCTAATGTCCAACCTAGACCTCCCCCAGTATCCTAGAAACTTCCATGCCAGGAGTATACAGATCATAAGAGCTGTTCAAGAAACAGCATCCCAACTGCAAAGAGAGCTAGGAATCTAAATGTCCTTACAAGAATTCACTGAGCTTGGCTAAGGGCAAGGTACCTTTTCAATAATGTGGTTCCCCCCAAAACGAGTCACAAATTCGGCAGGTGAGGCGACAGTGAAGTCCCTGTGGAGATCCAGTTTCTTGTGCTCTCGGCCTCTCTTGATAAGATGAAGCCCTGACATGCTTGGCCTGAATCATGTACAAAAACAAATGACATAAAGACACTCATCAGAGCAAGTCTGCTGCTATCTGGTACCTTTTCAATAATGTGGTTCCCCCCAAAACGAGTCACAAATTCGGCAGGTGAGGCGACAGTGAAGTCCCTGTGGAGATCCAGTTTCTTGTGCTCTCGGCCTCTCTTGATAAGATGAAGCCCTGACATGCTTGGCCTGAATCATGTACAAAAACAAATGACATAAAGACACTCATCAGAGCAAGTCTGCTGCTATCTCGATACACTGTAACAGTTTAAAATATAATCAGATGAAAAAACAAGCCATGGCGGTAATACTTTTCTCTACCACGCAACAGTCTCGAAGGCAACAAACACTCCTCGGTTAGCCCAATGAAGTAAATACAGGATATAAAAGATAGTTTAACCCACTACTAATATGCAGACACTTCTGAGACAGAACACAGCAGCTGATTTAAAGCACACTACACCATACATAAGGTGTGAAAAAGAGCTTTGTATTCCATTGAGAAACATGGGAGTAGTAAACTTAAGTAAAAGGAATGTAATTCTTCAGGGCTGCTCTTATGCAAAGTAACAGGATATCTTTAATGATGCCAAGTGCCCAAGACTATGGCCGTGTGTCACTGATTTCAAAACCAGTGATGAGAGACAATTGTGCTGCTAGGAAAGACATTCTATCTCTACATATATGCCCTAAGAGAGACTGGAAACCAACCTGGTATTTGCATGTCAGACAATAGATATTCATACACCCAAAAGTCACTAGGGATGTTCAGGTCTGTTAATGGACAAGGGTGAGTGAGTGATGAGCATGTCTAGCCACCATGAGGATAATGATAATGCCATTGCAAATACTAACCCGCTTTCTGCCTGACAAAGATTCACACATCATGGGACTCTGGAAATGCTTATGAGCAGAGAGTTGGGACAAGAGAAACGAGAGGAGCCCTGTGGCGACAAAATGCACAGTCCACTCAACACTCGACAGCAAGATGAAGTCTCTTGCCAAACTTCAGAGGCTTATTAAAACACACACACAGGGTGTTAAGGCAAAACCTATTGTAAATTAACTGAACTCCCTGAGAGACTGTCATTTCCTGGCAGGAAAGCATTCAGTTTCCAGTGCCTGGTTTGGCATGAAGTTCAGTTAGCACAGTTACATAGCAAAACATCTCCAGATCCCATCACGTGTCCACCTCCACCAATCCCTCCCCTCCCATCCAAGGCAGGCACTGGCATTTGAGCCTTCCATAACTTCAATACAGACTGAAGGATTAGTTTTACAGATCAAATCTGTGGAGGCAAATGCTGCACCCCACACACTCTGTACCTCTGCAGGAAATGACAAGAACAGAACCTGCACTGGCAGGTGGAAGGAAGTAAGCAGTTTACAGGGAACCTACACAGAGGCTGGGGTGGATACACACTTTCAGGGGAGGAAGAGAGAAGCTTTGAGAGGCAAACCAGGGAGGGGCATGGATAGCAGTTTCCTTTTTCACCCATTAGCCAACTTCACTTCCACCCCACCCCCTGAATCTCAGTGGTACTCCCCTGCAAACAAACAGATTCCCAGTCTCAAAGGCTGTGCATAGCTTCTAGGATTTGGCTCTTCCCAAAAGTAGATTCTTGACCCGAAGGCAGGCAGAAGAACCAAAGTTCCACATGTTGGCGAACACAGACCTCTCAAACAACAAACATGACCTCGGTGGTGAAGGAGGAGAAGGAGAAGGAGAAGGAGACAATGACAGGCTCTACTACCCCTTTGAGGTGACAGTTTCAAAGGGGAAGCCACCGCACAGCTGATCAGCTGTGCAGCTGCTACCCCTTTGAAACTGCCGCCCCCCCCCCATTCCAAGGGGGAGGACTTGGGGTCAGCTGGAGAGTCCCCAGCTGATCCTCGGTTCCAGGGAAATGCCGTGGGGAGTCCATGGGAGGTCAATGGGGACGCCCACCTTGTATTTTCGTCTTTCCTAGGAATTGAGGGACCAGCCCTGGCCTGACATGCTGGAGTCGAGAGGCACAGAAGGGGGTAAAAATTGTACCTGGATGTGGTCCTCTGTCTTAAGTGTACACATAGAAAGAGTAAGCTATTACTTGGTACCATTATTTCTATTTTTCTATCTTTATCTTCTTTGTAACCATTTTTAAGATCTATATTTTGCTAGTCGTTAAAAAATAGAGCAATAGCCATTGTAACCATATGATTTATAAGCTTCCTCAATAAACCTGTAACTGTTTAAGCTTTAACCTGACTCCTTCAGTTGCTGTAACAGAACCAAGCACAATTTAAAAGAACTTCAGCTGGTCTTAAGGGACAGATATAGGGAGAGCTTGGGCGTTTGGATTTGTGTCACTCCCAGGTGGCAGATCCGTTGGGGCACTTCTCAGCATCCCCAAGGCTGCCCGCTGCGAAGGAATCACAGATTCTAGCAGCTGAAATCTAAGGTGTTATAAGCTCTCCCTGTACACTTATTGGGTACCCGTCAGCCTCCTCCAGGTTGCCTGCTGCAAGGGACCCCGGTCTCAGCAGTTAAAGTCTCGGGTGTATAGCACATACACACTGCCCTGACTGTCGGCTGACAACAACAAAAGTGCTGGCTGAGGGAGGGGGCCTGACACACAGGGCAGGAACATGCATGCAAGTCAGCCATAGAAGAATTCCTTCTTCACTGCATCCTGAGCGAGTCAAAGCCTCTCTCTGTAAGTAGTTCAGCCAGCAAGTTTTAACCTAACACTTGCAAACACATTTTTCACTTTTCTTTTTTGTGGTTCTACCAGATCTAAATATTCTAAACCTTTGTCTAGTATTCCAGAAAGCACCACAAAGAGAAAATGCATACATGTAAGACATCAGATATTGGAAATATACAAACGAAAATTTAAAAATCAAAGCTTTTGCACTAGGAGATTCAGACAGAGTAAATTACAGCCTTAATATCCAGAAAGCCAGAGATGAACAGCTAAAAGAGTAAATTGTTGGTGAAAGTACATGCAGTACACATGCCTTGACTTCATTGTTCTGAATACTATATAGAGAAAACTACATAAGAACTGTACCTAAATAAACACATTTTAATAACCCTACTCTCTGACCAAGATAAACATCTCATTTGCCTCGTTCAATAAACATCTCACTTGCCTCGTGTCTCTATTGTATTGAGTTAGACATGGTGAAAATTACACTGTATACAGTCTAACAGCTTGGTTTATGAGAAATGGGCTTTGTTGAAATCAAAACCATAGAACAGGGTTGGGCAAGATATGGCCTGTGGGTGAGATCCAGCCCACCAGGCCACTGGATCCGGCCTGCAGAGGCAAAGGAGAACCCCAGGCAGATTCCCCAGCTTGCCCTGCAACCCCCCCACACAACTTAGGAACACAGCTGCCAGGCCCCATTTTTGTTTCAAAACTGGAGAGGAGGGGGGAAAGCTTCAGGAGCTGCCTCCACCCCCAGCACAATCCCATTGGCTGGTTTCTGGCCAGAAACTGGCCAATGGGAACTTCCTGTTTGAATAACAGGCAGCCAAGAAGAACCACACCCCCTTTTCTCCACTCAGTTATTCACACAAGCACGTGGCTGGGCAGGCAGGCCTGGTTTTAAACTCTGCAAGCCTTACCTGGCTTGGCTGCTGGCTGGGAAGCCTCCTGGCCAGAACCTGCCTCTGGCCCAGCCCCTCCCCTTCCCCAACCCTCTTCCCTCCCAATCAACACACTCAAACTGTCTGTCCCCTCTTACACTCATACCCTGTCCCAGATCTGGCACCCCAAGCTCCTGCCCCAGATACAATCTCCTCCTAACCTAGATCATATCCTAAACCCTGCACTCCAGTCCCCTGCCTTAGGTCACAACTGCCTCCTTCACCCAAACTCCCTCCCAGACTCCAGTCTCCCTCCTGCACCCCAGTCCCTTGCCCAAGCTCCCCTCTGCACTCAACTTCCATCCCAGACCCCACACCTCCTCCATTAATACCATGGAAGAATGCAGCCCTCAACCACTTTCCAAAATCTTGGAGTGGCCCCCCCCTCAAAAATTATTGCCCACCCCTAGCACAGAAGCTATCAAGTAGACTAGGCAGAGAATAAAAGAAGAAAAGTGTGAGCTCCTTTTTAGAAGGGACAGAGAGGGAACTAAACACTCATGAAAACAACAAGTAGTCCTGTAGCACCTTAGGGACTAACCAAAATATGTTATTTATATAAAGTAACATATTTTGGTTAGTCCCTAAGGTGCTACAGGACTACTTGTTTTTTAGAAATTACAGACTAGCACAGCTACCCCCTGAGACTTTTAAACACTCATGAATTCAGTAGCGTCAGGCAGCAAATGGGCAGTAGAAACAGACACAACTAGCCACCAATACTTTACAACTAATTCACACAAGACACTTTAGAGACCAAACGCATGTATCTGGGCATAAGCTTTTGTGGGCTGGAGCCCACTTCGTCAGATGCACACACCTACCCGTCGGATACTTCACTCGAGGATCTCTCATTTGTAATCCGTCAGCAAGCCTCACAACCCCACTACGGGGTAGGCTCTCTTTTCTCCAAGTCACAGAAGAGGAGCATGAGGACAGCTCTGCAAGATAAGCTTACACCCACATAACTACAACATCACATCAACAACATGCAAAAAAAAAAAATCATACCCTAGTGTGACAGTTAAACCCAAGCCATGGCATAAAACAGGGCTATGTTAATGGGAGTGCTCCTGCTATCGCTATGGCCTCTCATGGAAATGGATTAACTACACCAACAGGAAAAAAATCTCTGGTCACTGAAGCATCTTCCCTGAAGCACTGACATGTTTTAAGTGCAGACCTGCCGTATGGCACAGAGCTGCAATGTGATTTGCCCCCGGCATATGCAGCAAATCCGCAGCAGTGGAGAAACTAGCTGACTGTTCCATGCTCAGTCTACAAGACCATCCTGCTTCTCTGCTGCATACTTTGTTGTTTCCCCTCCCACCTCTACAGAAACATGAAAGGCCTAAGCCT